TGTGGTAGGTTTTTTGGGTCCTTGGATGGAGTTGAGGGGGAGAGGTGTAAGGTCAGGTGTAACACTTCCTGCGGTTGCAGGGAAAGGTGCCGGGGGTGGTGGGGCTAGTGGAGAGTGTGGAGCAGATGAGGGAGTCGTGGAGAGAGCGGTCCCTATGGAAGGCAGATAGGGGTGGGGAGGGAAATATATCCTTGGTTGTGAGGTCAGATTGCAGGTGGTGGAAGTGGTGGAGAATGATATGTTGAATCTGGAGGTTAATGGGGTGTAACGTGAGGACAAGGGGGATTCTGTCTTTGTTTTTATTGCAGGGAGGGGATGTGAAGGCAGAGGTGCGGGAAATGCAAGAGATGCGGTCGAAAGCGTTTTCGACCACTGAAGGGGGGGACGTTGCAGTTCTTGAATTAAGAGGATATCTGGGATGTTTGGGAGTGGAACACCCCAACTGGGGTAGGTGGAATGGTGATAAGTGAGTGCAGGTAGGCAGTGGTGAGGATTGGTCAGTGAGGTGGGAGGAGCGGATAGGTGGGAGAGAAGACGGACAGGTCAAGGAGGTCGGGATGAGAGGGTGTGTTGGTCATGGGATGAGGCCGGGGGTGGGGAGATTTTGAAACTAGTAAAGTCCATGTTGAGACCATTGGGTTGGAGGCTCCCAAGGCGGAATATGAGGTGCTGCTCCTCCAGTTTCGGGCGGTGTCGTTGTGACACTGGAGGAGGCCCAGGAAGGACATGTCGTCCAGGGGGTGGGAGGGGGAGTTGAAGTGGTTTGCGACTGGAAGTTGTTGTTCGTTTATAGCAAACAGAGCGCAGGTGCTCTCCAAAGTGATCTCCGAGCCTTCGCTTGGTCTCACCGATGTAGAGGAGGCCACATCAGGAGCAGCGAATGCAGCAGATCACATTAGATTCTTGGTAAGCAAGGGGGTGAAAGGTTATTGGGGTCAGGCAGGAGTGTGGTATAATCAGAGCCAAGGATTTTTTGGATAAATTATTACATCTTAATAAATAATTACCAAATTATTAACAAGTTTTAGGAGTTGAGTGGCCTACCTCTGCTCTTGATTTGTCAGAACCACTCTTCAAATAATGCTTCATGTGTTCTGTTACTGAAGCAGATGAAATCAGAAGTCACATGACACCAGGTTATTGTCCAACAGGTTTATTTGAAATCACAAACTTTTGGAGCGTAGCCCTTTCATCAGATTAAGTCACCTGATGAAAGGGCTACGCTCCAAAAGCTTGTGATTTCAAATAAACCTACTGGACTATAACCTGGTGTCATGTGACTTCTGACTTTGTCTACCCCAGTGCAACACTGGCACCTCCACATCACGAACCAGATGAGACAGAGCCCCTGGTTTTTGTGCGGTTGTGATATTGTAATCGGCTTCTGCTTGTCTCAGCTAGTGAGAAGACAGAGTTCTTACTAATGACTATGTCTCAGCAGCCGGAAGGGCTATGTGTTGATATTAAACAAGCTCAAAAATTCAGGTTCAGTTATCTTCGAAACAACCTGCTTACCGTCAATGTCACAGTTTGAAGAATGACCACTCAGGCCCCCTGCTGGAGCATTGCTGGTGCCTAAGTGTGTCAGAGGGAGAGGCAAAATGGAACAGAACAAAAATGCACCTTTCCTGTTAGAAAACAGTCTGCAGCAAGTTCTTCATTTAAGAAAATATTTGGCCAGAGAGTTGAAGTTTGACCATTTGTCTGTTCAAACCTCTGTTCAGTCTGTTCTTGTGAAATGACAGGGGAATGAGAGGGTGGATTTGTTGACCAGCCAGTCTCTGGCTGCCTCCCTGATGGGGCTCAGCTGGCAGCCAATGGTGTTTACATAAAGAGATCCCCTTCAACAAGGCCTCTACCTGCCCCAGTTAAAAGTGTTGCTTTTCCTAAGCCTTAGTATCTTAACATTTGTTCATACGTGCATGTTAAAACATTACAGTGAGATGACTGAATAAAACAGCTACTCTGAAGGCAGCCAGCAGTTCCACACTTAGAGACAGGAACAGTGAAATTTGTTGAGGGCATTGCTTCAGTTGCAGTTTAATTATTTCTGTCTGCAGCGAGGACTGAGCTCAGAAGTCAAGGTGAAAAAGTCCTTCCTGCCTAATAAACAAATACAATTAGGACAGTGCAATAACTCAGGAAACCTGACTGGGAAGGAACACCAAAATGAAGTCATTACTCATAGTGTCTTAGAATTAAGTAGAACAGGCTCATTCCTAGGTCTGGAGCAGGTGGCACTTGAACCTGTGCTTCCTGGCCCAGAAGTAGGAACACTACCATTGTTCCACAAGAGCCCTCATGGGCCTGCTTTTTTATGTTTTCTAATCAACCTGTTCAAAGATGTCATTACACACCTCTGGAGTAGGTGGGACTTGAACGTATGCCTCCTGGCTCAGAAGTAGGAACACTACCACTGCTCCAAAAAACCCCTTACGGGTCTGCCTTTTTTTTTAATATATTCAGAAGTGCTATCACACACAGCTGAGTGACTTTACCAGCACCAAATCACCATGACTTTTATTTTTGTCTTTTAAACTACTAACACGGGCGGCATGGTGACTCAGTGGTTAGCACTGCTGCTTCACAGCACCAGGGACCTGCATTCGATTCTACCCTCCATCTTTTACTAATCAAGTTAACAAGTTCATGACCCTTCTGCCAATGGGAACTGTTTCTCCCAAGGCGTTGATTAAGAGGGCAAAATAGAGTGCAAAAATAAGCTTGCAGGGGACATATAGACTGATTGTAAAAGTTTCCATAGATATGTAAAGAAAAAAGATTAGTGAAGACAAATGTATGTCCCTTACAGTCAGAAACAGGGCAAGTTAAACTGGAGAACATAGAGAGATGGAAGACCATTTAACGACATATTTTGACTCTATCTTTGCAAAGGACGACATAAATAAACTTCCAAAAATTTGGGGAACGCAGTGAGAAGGAGGAACTAAAGGAAATCAGTATTACTAGGGAAATGGTGTTGATGAAATTGATGGGAATAAATGGCAACAAATCCCCAGCGGCCAATAACTACATCCCAGAGTACTTAAGGAAATGGCCCTAGAAATACTGGATGCATTGTTTGTAATCTTTCAAGAATCTATAGAGTTTGGAACAGTTCCTGTGGATTGGAGGTAGCTAATGTAGCACCACTACTTCAAAAGGGATGGAGAGCGAAAACGGAATTATAGACTAATGAGTCTGACATTGGTAGTGGGAAAATGCTAGAGTCCATTATACAAGATTTAATAGCACCGCACTTGGAAAACAGTGGCAGGATTGGACAGAGACAGCGTGGATTTATGAAAAGGAAATCATTCTTGACAAATTTACTGGAATTCTTTGATGATGTAACCTGTAGAGTTATTGATCCACTGGACATGGATTACTTAGCTTTCTCAGAAGGCTTTTGAAAAGTCCCGCATAAAAGATTATCATGTAAACTTAAAGATTGGGGTGGTGTATTGGCATGGACAGTAAGATGGTTGGCAGACAGGAAACAAAGGGTAGGTATAAATGGGTCATTTTCTAAGAAGCAGTCAGTGACCTGTCGGTACACAGGGATCAGTGCAAGGACCCTAGCTATTCATATGGTATATTAATTATTTTGATGAGGGAATGAAATGTAATATTTCCAAATTTGCAGATGATACAAATTTGGGCAGGTGGATGAGCTGTAAGGGTGATGCAGAGATGTTTAGGTGTCATTTCGACAAGTTGAGTGAGTGAGCAAATGCATGGTAAATGCAGCATAATGTTCGTACATATGAAGTTACCAACTTTGGTAGCAAGAACAGGAGGCAGATTGTTATCTAAATGTTGATAGATTGGGAGAGAGGGAGGTGCACTGAGAGCTGGGCATCCTTGTACACCAGTCGCTGAGAGTAAGCATGCAGGTGCAGCAGGCGGTGAAGAAGGCGTATGGACTGTTGACCTTCATTGCGAGAGGATTCGAGTACAGGAGCAAGGATGTCTTGCTACAATTGTATAGGGCCTTGGTGAGACCACACCTGGAATACTATGTGCCGTTTTGGTCTCCTTGTTTGAAGAAGGACATTCTAGCTATGGAGGAATATAACAGAGGTATAAAAGATTGATTCCTGGGATGGCAGGATTGACATATGAAGACAGCCTTGATTGGTTAGGAATAGATTCACTGCAGTTTAAAAGGATGAGGGGAAATCTCATAGAAACTTATAAAATTCTCACAGGATTAGACAGGGTAAACACTGGAAAGATATTACAGAACCAGGGTTCACAGTCTAAGGATTTGGGGTATGTCGTTTAGAACTGAGATAAGGAGAAAACTGTCATACCCAGAGAGTGGTGAACCTTTGGAATTGTCTGCCACAGCACGTGGTTGAGAATTCTGGGTCTGCATTCGATGGAGTTTAGAAAAGTGAGGGAGAATCTGATTGAAACTTGCAGAATACTGAGAGGCCTGGATAGAATGGATGTGGAGAAGATGTTTCCATTAGTCGGAGAGGTGAGGAGCTGAGGGCACAGCCTCAGGGTAAAGGTTTGACCCTTTATAACTGAGATGAGGAGGAATTTCTTCATCCAGAGGGCAGTGAATCTGTGGAACTTATTGCCACAGAAGGCTGTAAGGCCAACTCATTGAGTGTATTTAAGACACAGATAGATCATTTTATTCAATAGTAATTTCTTGAACAGGATATGACGTTTACAATTCTCCAGTGCTCTGGGACCACCATTGTATGTGGGAGGACAATAAATGCTGGCCCAGCTAGCAACACCCGTATCCCATGAATAACTTAAAATTCCACCCTCAATCCTGTCAGTGTCCTGGGATGCCTCGTCCTGATCAACTGACGTCTTCACTTAACTGACTTTTCCAGGATCATCATCTTAGTAAAGCCAGTTGCAAAGTCCATGTGTGATAGTCACAGATCGTGGTCATGACCATAGACTGTGCATACGGGACATGATGAAAGGAATCTGAACCTTGCCAAAAGGAGATAAGTTGTCTGTGCACCTACCGATTTCCAGAGCTCTGCCTCTTGGGGTTTATACTGAATTTCATATCGCCGAGGAGTCCACCCTGCACTGGGCTCTGAGTTCACCATGTCTTCCCACCACAATTGAATATCCATGAATAATCCCGATTGGCTAATGTTTAAGAGAGCCCAGTTCAGTGAGCTTGGAGCATCTGGTTTCACTGACAGAACAAAAGAGATTGAACAATGATCAGGAATTCTGAGAAGGATCAGCAATTCCAACAATAATCAGGAATTCTAACAGTAATCAATAATTCCAACTACAGTCAGGAATTCCAACGGTAATTAATGCTTCTAACAATAGTCAGTGATTCCAACAGTGATCAGTCAATCAGAATAATCAGTGAACCCAACAATAATCACCAATTCCAACAATAATCATGGATTCCAACAGTAACCAGTGATTCCAATTTTAGTCTGGGATTCCGACAATAATCGGTGATTCTGATAATAATCAGCATTCCAGTGTTAATCAGTGAATCCGACAACAATAAGAGATCTGACAATAATCAGTGATTCTAAAAATAATTAATGATTCCAAAAATAACCAGCAAATGCACAAAAATCAGGGATTCAGACTGTAATCAAAATTCCAACAATAATCAATGATTCCAACAATAATCAATGAACCTAACAGTAATCAGTGATTCCAACTCTAATCAAAATTCCAATGGTAATCAGTGAATTCAACAATAATCAGGGACTCTGACAATAATCAGCGATTCCAACAATAATCAGGGGTTCTGACAACAGTCAGTGATTCTCACAATAATCAGCAGTTCCAACAATAATCAGGGATTCCAAAAATAATCAGTAAATCCAAAAATAAGCAACAATTCTGACAATAATTAGCAATTCCTACATTAGTCAGTAATTCCAACAATAATCATTGAATCCAATAATAATTAGGGATTCCAACAATTATCAGCGATTCCAACAATAGTCAGTGACTCCAACAACAATCACGGATTCTAATAACAATCAGAGATTCCAACAACAATCTGTGATTTTAACTATAATCAGTGATTTGAATGATAATCATTAAATTTAACAATAATCATGGATTCCAACAGTAATCAGCGATTCCAACAGTAATTGGCGTTCCAATGTTAATTAGCAAATCGGACAACAATCAGAGATCCAACATTTTTCAGTGATTTTGACAATAAGCACTGATCGTCAATAATCAATGGGTGACACAGCAAGAGGAGAACAGGAGGGGATATACTGAAGGGGAGTGAAGAGAAATGGGGGAGTACAGTGAGGGAGGATCGGGGAATACAATTGGGGGAAATGATAAAGAATGAGGAGAAATGAGGGGATATGGTGAGAGGGAAGTGAGGGAGATGCAGAAAGGTGGAAATGGTGGCGTGAAGGGTGAGTGAGGAGTGAAGGGAGTGAGAAGGGAATGGAGGGATATGAGGAGGAAAGACGGGAGATAGTGAGGGAGGAGTTACAGACAAGTGAAGTGGAATGAGCAGGTACAGCCAGGAGGGAGTGAGGTGTGGGGGTGACACCACCAGATATGAGCACTGATAGGCTCCTGACTGTTTAATTTGAATATTGAGTTATCATACTTGAGTGAAGGTCACCCCAGAGGCTGTGAATCTGAAACACAAACTAATCAGCCTTGCCAACTACTTGCCAAGAAGCAATCATAATATTCAGCTCATAGTATTGCTGACAGCTGTTTATTTACCAATATCATTGAGTGTAAAACATCGCTGTTCATGCGTGATGTTGTCGGATTTCAGTTGCACACAGTACTCCATCTCTGAAGTGTACGATTGATTGAAGTAGCAACTGGTTTCTCTGTTGATGTATGTTGGACATTCTCTCCAGTCATGGCTTTCTCTGGACAGAAATAACAGTCATTCAATAATTCCATCACAACTTGGTTTGCAATTATTCCTTGCTTTAAGTACAGTATAGGCTAGATAAAGACGTAGGGGCTACAGTCGGTATAAAGAAGGAAAGTTGGCACAAATGTTACATCATAGAAAAGTCAGGAGGTCACCTTGTTGGATCCTAGGTTGTTGACAGAAGCATTGGTCACAATCATTTTCTTTTCTCTGTCACGATGGGGAGAAGGCGGGAACAGGGGACTGATTTGGACGATCAGCCATGATCATATTAGAAGCCTTGCCTACTGTGAGCTGCCAGCCACTTAGAGGCCAGGTGGGAGTCATGGGGAGAAGGATGCAGGAGGGTTGGCAACAAGGATAGAGGGTGGCTCTCAGTGAGTGGCCCGATTCCTGATATTGAGTGTCTCAATCAGGAAACAAGTCCCTGCTAATAGGAAGGATGTTGTGAAACTTGAAAGGGTTCAGAAAAGATTTACAAGGATCTTGCCAGGGTTGGGGGGTTTGAACTATAGGAAGAGGCTGAATAGACTGAGGCTATTTTTTCTAGAGTGTCGGAGGCTGAGGGGTGACCTTATAGTGGTTTATAAAATCATAAGAGGCATGGATGGGGTAAATAAACGAGGACCTTTCCCAGGGTGGGGTGGGGGTTGGGAGTCCAAAACTAGAGGGCATAGGTTCAAGGTAAGAGGGGAAAGATTTAAAAGGGACCTAAGGGGTAACATTTTCAGGCAGAAGATGGTGTGTGTATGGAATGAGCTGCCAGAGGAAATGGTGGAGGCTGGTACAATTACAACATTTAAAAGGCATCTGGATGAGTATATGAATAGGAAGGGTTTGGGGGGATATAGGCCAAATACTGGCAAATGGGGCCAGATTTATTTAGGATATCAGGTCAGCATGGATGAGTTGGATCAAAGGGTCTGTTTCCGCATAACTCTATGACTGTATGACTCTAAGTGCTTTTGATCAATGACGCACCCCCAGAACTAACAATATGGCTGCACAGTTGAACATGCAAACCACATGGCAACATAGCCACGTGCAGCCAGGTTAATGCTAGTAATGGTAGGAGGAGTACCTAGAGGAGTCATTAAGAGGCAAAAGGGAAGGAAGGTCAACCTTCCCAGGCTTCCCACCTGAAACTTCACTCTGGTAGACATGGGGTTTGGGTATGTCATCATCCTGTCAAATTAAGTCCTTTTCTGCTACAAGCTCACCACCAGAAAGAGAGGATTCTGTCCACTGATGGAGTGGCTATATTTTCTCTGTGCAAATATTCTTTGAAGATATCTTGAGAACAATGTCTATGTTAGTATGAAGGTTTTTTCTCTGACAGTCAATTCTTCTTCCTTTCCTCTTCATGGTTAACTGTTTCTGGATATAGTGCATGGTTGCCCAGTCTTTGTCCTAGCAGCTATTCAGAACAGTGGCAAATAGAATTTAATCCAGAAAAGGGTGTGAGGTGTTAAATTTTGGCAGCACTAACAAGGCAAGGGAGTACAAGCTGAATGGTAGGACCCTAGGGAGTACAGAGGACCAGAGGGACCTTGGTGTGCATGTCCATAGATTCTTGAAGACAGTGGTGAGGTGGTTAAGGAGGAATTATGGATACTTGCTTGATTAGTCAAGGCATTGAATACAAGAGCAAAGAGGCTATGATGTAGCTATATACATTAGTTAGGCCACAGCTGGAATACTGAGTGCAGTTCTGGTTGCTTACACAGTGATTACACTGGAGGGGGAGCAGAGGAGATTCACCAGGATGTTGCCTGGGCTGGAGTGATTCAGCTGTGAAGACAGACTAGATAAGCTGGGGTTGTTTTCCTTAGAGCAGAGAAGGTTGAGAGGGGGATCCGACTGCAGTTTGCAAGATGGCTTAGGTAGGGTGTAAAAGAAACTTTAACCCTGAGTAGAGTGGTTAATAACCAGGGGTCATAGATTTAAGATAAGAAGCAGGAGGGTTAAAGTGGGTTAACATTATCTGAAACTTACTGCCTGAAAGAGTGATAGAAGCAGGAGCACTCAAAACATTTAAGAAATACTTAGATGAACACTTGAAACGGCAAGTGCTAGAAAGTGGGACTAGAGTAGATAAGGACTTGATGACCAGTCCAAATGCAATGAGATGAAAAGTCTCTTTCCGTGCTAGAAAGCTCTATGATTCTTCACCAGAGATAGTAGGAACTGCAGATGCTGGAGAATCTGAGATAACAGGGTGTAGAACTGGATGAACACGGCAGGCCAAGCAGCATCAGAGGAGCAGGAAGGCTGATGTTTCGGGCCTAGACATTTCTGAAGAAGGGTCTAGGCCTGAAACATCAGCCTTCCTGCTCTTCTGATGCTGCTTGGCCTGCTGTGTTCATCCAGCTCTACACCTTGTTATCTCATGATTCTTCACCAGATGTGCAATCAGAGAATAGGTACCAGCAGGTTCTTTAACTGAAAGATTTTGATCTGTGTTGCAAACTCACCAACAGTGGATAGCTGACAGGAGCCCTGCCGGAGTTTTTATGGCCTGGGTTTTCTGATAGACACTTGTTAATCCAGCACAGGTCGGTGCTGCAGAAAGGGACTCTGTGGAGTCCCCATCATAGCATACTCTCAAGGAATTTCCTGGGAAATTTAATTTTCCTCTGGGCAATTCCTTTCTGCCCAGAACCCTCTGGAATTCTCCATTTAAATCAGTGATTCAGAGAGTTCTGATGAAACTAAGTGAATTAGTTATTCAGAAATAGTTAGACCATAGTCAATAGTCTAACTCCTGAGTAACTGTTAAACTGACCATAATCTTAACTCTCACATCCCCATCTATGCCTTATCAGGTTCGTTATACCAACCAGACTTTCAGTCAACATCCCCCAAGACCTGGGACCTCCCCTGGGCACCTGACCTTCTCATCCCCCTCTGTGCCCAACCCTGGCTACTAGTCAGGAACCTGATCCCCAAACTTGTCACCACCACTATACCTGACAGTCAAACCCCAGGCTCCCCTGTCAGACCCAATTTCTCCCACCTATTTAGACCAACCTGGGCCTCTTGCAACCTTGTACCCTATCCATTTGGCACCCTAGCCCCTTTCTATTTGGCATCTTATGCACCTACCACCCTACCCCCTGTCTGTGATTCTGGACCTTTAAATGTCACAGTACGGTGGCTGACTCCTCTGGAAAGGGGAGACATGGTTTGCCTTTCTCTGGCAGTTCTATGCTATGAAAGAACTGCCAGAATTGAGGTACGATCCATATTTCTGAGGGACAGCTGATCAGAATTTCCCCTCTCTAAGTGTTTATAAACAATGGTCATTAAGGTTGCAATAATGTCCTTTACTATTCAACTATTCTAAAGTAGACCAATACAGAAAGAGGCCAACTGCTCTGATGAGTCTGGGGTAGCTCTTTTGAAATGAATTGGATGAACCTCATTCCCATGCCAGTTCCTCTTATTGCAGCAATTTTCTCCTCTTCAAGTAATTTCCATTTGAAGGTTTTTTTTTCCCTTTATTCATTCACAGGATGAAGGGCGACACTGGCTAGGCAGCATTCATTGCCCATCCCTAATTACCCAGAGGGCAGTTAAGAGTCAACCACATTGCTGTGGGTCTGGAGTCACACGTAGGCCAGACCAAGTAAGGATGGCAGTTTCCTTCCCCAAAGGACATTAGTGAACCAGATGGGTTTTTGCCCTGACAATAAACAATGGATTCACGATCATTGTTAGATTCTTAATTCCAGATATTTTATTGAATTCAAATTCCACCATCTGCTGTAGCGGGATTTGAACCCGGGTCCCCAGAACATTATCTGGGTCTCTGGATTAACAGTCCAGCAATAATACCATGAGGCTATCGTTTCCCCCTACAATTGATTCATTTGATTGAACATGATTGAGCCACTTTATCAGGCACTGAATTCCAAATCCTAAATACACATCGCTGAAAAAGCAAAGTTTTCCTAGTGTAGCCTCTAGTTCTTTTGTCGATCATCTCAAATCGTTGCTTCTTAATATTTTCAGCCATTGGAAATTATTTTTCTTTTTTAATCTAGCTAAAATCTTCATAATTCTGAACAACTGTCTCAAGTCTCTTCTTAGCCCTCTCTGCTTGAAGGAGAAGAAGTACATCTTCACCAGTTGTGTTCACATAACTGCAATCCCTCAGTCCAAGAAATGTTTGAGCAACTCTCTTCCATGTCTCTTCAACAATCTTGTATCTTTCTAGAGGTGTGTTGTCTGATATAGCCATGATTGGTAGCAGCACACAACCTGGGACCTCCCTGGTCTACAGCATGTGGTCTTCTGTCAGAAATGTTCTCTCTCATCAGGGAAAACTACAATCACAAGATTTGCTCAATGCTGTTAAGTGGATATTTGTTGTGTTGTGCATACGAGAACTCCCCACTTCATGGTTAGTGACCCTGAAAGCTTCAGTCAGTGTGATTGCTGAAAGTGAAGGATTTATGCTTTGAAGCTAATCTAGTTGTTGGATATTTTTAGAATTGAACATTGCCATTAGTGTACTGGGCAGCCTGAAACATGTAGAACATAAGACACAGCATTTCTACAAACAAAGATAATAGAGAGAGAAATGCAGCAATTCATCAGTGTTAAACCTTACCCTTTTATATAAAAGAATTTTAGTTGATATTCTGTCAGGTTCTGGAAGTTTCCCACACTCCAGCTACATGTGAACGTCTCCTGATCAGCTGAGTGACATTCTGTGATTTTAGGCCCTTTGAGAGGAAATAAGAGATGAAAGATTCACAATGTCACTGAGGTACATATGCATGATTAACAATATTCCTGCCTACCACAACACTCACTGCTGTAAAATAAAAGAGGATTCCAACAGTTTCAGGATCATTCACCATCCTTTCCAATGAATGTACACAGTTGCTGAAGGGTCAGCAAAAGCCCACGATAACCCCACAGAATGGCTTCCTCTGGTGAGGCTCCCCTAACCTCTCTCATCCAAACAACACTGAATGCCGGTAACATTTCTCTCATCCTAAATTCACCTCCTCACTTATCTCTGCACCAGTTAAGGTCCATTGCATTTCCCACTTTCAACCTATGTCTGCAGCAGCACAGTTGATATCTTCACCTGGTCCACTTCGCTGCTTTAGGTCTTTATCCCTCCTGAAAGAGTTTTCAGCACATCGTAGCAAGTACAGTTTACAGTCCCATACCAGCACAGAGCTGGGAAGCCAAGAAATTTTTGGCCATACACATGGTGCACAGGTCAAATCAAATGCAATATAGGAGGATAATAACTAATTTATTACAGAAACAACGCACCATAAGACTATAAGAAAGAGGAACAAGAGTGGGCTGTTCGCCCTGCAATAGGATCATGACTGATCCAACATTCCTCATATCCAATTTCCTGCATTTTCCTTGTAACCTTTAATTCCCCGACTGATCAAGAATCTATCTCAACGTTAAATTTTTTTTCTAATTTATTCTTTTGCGGAATGTGGGCATTGCTGGCTGGCCAGCATTTATTGCCCGTCCATCGTTGCCTTTGAGAAGGTGATGGTGATCTGCCTTCTTGAACCATTGCAGTATATCTAGGCTGACCCACAATGCCATTAGGGAGGGAATTCCAGGATTTTGACTCAGCTGCAGTGAAGGAACAGCAATACATTTCCAAGTCAGGATGGTGAGTGGCATGGGGGGGACCTTGAAGGTGGTGGTGTTCCCATGTATCTGCTGCCCTTGTCCTTCTAGATCGAAGTGGTTGTGGGTTTGGAAGGTGCTGTCTCAAGAGCTTTGCTTAATTTCTGCAGTGCATCTTGTAGATAGTACATACTGCTGCTACTGAATGTCGATGGTGGAGGGAGTAGATGCTTGTGGATGTAATGCCATACAAACGGGCTGTTTTGTCCTGGATGGTGTCAATCTTCTTGAGTGTTGTTGGGGCTGCACTCATCCAGGCAAGTGGGGAGTATTCCATCACACTCCTGACTTGTGCCTTGTAGATGGAGAACAGGCAGGGAAGTCAGGAGGTGTTACTTGTCGCAATATTTCTCACCTTTGACCTGCTCTTGTAGCCACTGTGTTTATGTGGTGAGTCCAGTTGAGTTTCTGGTCAATGATAACCCCCAGGATGTTGACAGTAGAAATTCAGTGATGGTAATACTGTTAAGTGCCGGCGAGGGGAGGGAGGTGGTTACATTGTCTCTTATTGGTGATGGTCATTGCCTGGCATTTGTGTAGTGTGAATGTTACTTGTGACTTGTCAGCCCAAGCCTGGATATTCTCCAGATCTTGTTGCGTTTGAACATGGATTGCTTAAGTATTTGAGGAGTTGCGAATGGTGCTGAATATTGCACAACCATTGATGAACTTTCCCACATCTGACCTTATGATGGAGGGAAGGTCATTGATGAAGCAGCTGAAGATGGTTGGGCCTAGGTCACTACTCTGAGGAATTCCTGCAGAGATGTCTGGAGCTGAGATGACTGACCTTCAACATTCATGACCATCTTTGTCCATGTTTGAACTAAGGCTGTAATGAGGTCAGGAGCTGAGTGACCTGGCAGAATGCAAACTGGGCGTCACTGAGCAGGTTATTGCTCCGTAGATGCTGCTTGTTGGCACTGTTGATGACACCTTCCATCACTTTACTAATGATTGAGAGTAGACTAGTGAGGCAGTAATTGGCTGGGTTGGATTTGTCCTGCTTTTTATGTACAGCACATACTTCGGCAATTTTCCACATTGTCTGGTAGATGCCAGTGTCGTAACTGTACTGGAACAGCTTGATTAAAGGAGTGGCAAGTTCTGGAGCACAAGCCTTCAGTATTATTGCCAGAATGTTGTCAGGGCCCGTTGCCTTTGCAGTATCCAGTGTCACCAACCATGTTTTGATATCATGGGAAGTGAATCAAATTCATTGAAGACTGGTATCTGCAATGCTGGGGACCACTGGAGGAGGCTGAGATGGATGATTGATTGATTGTGACATATACTGAAGTACAGTCAAAAGCTTTCTTTATGAGTAATACAGGCAGATCGTAGTAAGCAAGCGTGTACAGATCAAAAATGATTTAGACAGAGGCATACAGGTTATATTGCACAGGGCGTGCACTAAGCGAGATCAATGTTAGCATGATCAGCATTATTTGAGGCTACAGAGTCCATTCATCAGTCTGATAACAGTCGGGAAGAAGATGTTCCTGAACCTACTCGCGTATGTGTTCAGGCTTCTGTACCTTCGGCCTGATGGAAGAGGTTGTAGGAGATCATTATCAGGATGTGATGGGTCTTTGATTATGTTGCCTGCATTTCCATGGCAGCACTCCGTGTAAATACAGTCCATGGAAGGTTGGCTTCCGTGATGGTCTGGGCTGCGCACACCACCTTGTGTAGGTTCTTACAGTCTTGGGCAGGACAGTTGCCATACCAGGCCATTATGCACCCGGATAGTATGCTTTCAGTGGTGCATCTGTAGAAGTTGGTGAGTATCCTTATGGACATGCCAAATTTCCTGAGCCGCCTGAGGAAGAAGAGGCATTGTCATGCCTTCTTGACCGTCACATCTACGTGGGAAGTCCAGGATGGGTTGTCGGTTATCGTCACTCCAAGGAACTCGATGCTGTCCACCCTCTCAGCCTCAGTTCCATTGATGTGGATGGGGCCGTGTTCTCCTCCTTTCCTTCTGAAGTCAGTGATCAGTTCTTTAGTTTTGCCAAAGTTGAGAGAGAGGTTGTTTTCATTGCACCATGTCACCAAGCCCACTATCTCCCATTTGTAGTTTGACTCGTTACAATATCTGTCCCACTGTGGTGGTGTCATCGGCAAACTTGTACATGGCGTTCATTCGGAATTTGGCAACACAGTTGTGGGTGTACAGGGAGTACAGTAGGGGGCCTAGGATGCATCCTTGGGGGCTCTGGTGTTGAGGATTATTGTGGAGGAGGTGCAGTTGTCTATTTTCACTGATTGTGGTCTCTGGGTCAGAAAGCTGGGGATCCAGTTGCAGAGGGTGGAGCCAAGACTGGTCTCAGCGTTTTGAGATTAGTCTGGAGGGGATAATGCTGTTGAAGGCGGAGCTGTAGTTAATGAGCAGGGATCTGATGTAGATGTCTTTGTTGTCCAGACGTTCCAGGAATAAGTGCAGGCCTAGGGATATGGCATCTGCTGAGGACTTGTTACTGTTTCTATTACTGCCACTCGGCACTTCTGGCTGAAGATTGCTGTGAAAGCTTCAGCCTTATCTTTTGCACTGGTGTGCTGGGCTCTTCCATCATTGAGGATGGGGATATTTGTGGAGCCTCCTCCTCCAGTGAATTGTTTAATCGTCCACCACCATTCACAACTGGACGTGGCAGGACTGCAGAGCTTAGATCTGATCCGTTAGTTGTAGGATCGCTTAGCTCTGTCTATCACTTGCTGCTCTCGCTGTTTGGCGTGCAAGTAGTCCTGTTTGGTGGCTTCACCAGGTTGATACCTCACCTTCAGGCATGCTTGCTGCTGCTCCTGGCATACCCTCCTGCACTCTCCATTGAACCAGGTTGATCCCCTGGCTTGATTAGGGGATATGCTGGACCATGAGGTTACAGATTGTGAACAAAAATAAAGTTGCTGGAAAAGCTCAGCAGGTCTGGCAGCATCCGTGAAGGAGAAAACAGAGTTAACGTTTCGGGTCCGGTGACCTGACGAACGGTCACCGGATCCGAAAAGTTAACTCTGTTTTCTCCTTCACAGATGCTGCCAGACCTGTTGAGCTTTTCCAGCAACTTTGTTTTTGTTCCTGATTTACAGCATCCGCAGTTCTTTTGGTTTTTATTAGGTTATAGATTGTGCTGGAGTACAATCCTCCTGCAGTTGATGACTCACAATGCTTCACAATAGAGTGACCACCGCTCAGTACAGTTACAACCTGGGTCCCCATAATGTTAGCTGGGTCTCTGGATTAAAAGTCTAGCGATAATGCCACTATGTCATCACAAGGACTCTGCCCCCATAGATCTCTGTGGCAATGAGTTCCAAAGACTCACAACCCTCAGAGAAAAAAATTCTTCCTCACCCGTGTCTTAGACTTGGCAGTCTTTATTCTGGTACTATACCCTCTGGTCCTAGACTCTCCCCGAGGGGAAACATCCTCTTGGCTTTATCCTGTGAAGCCCCTTAAGAATCCTGTATGTTTCAATTAGATCACCCCTCATTCTTCTAAACTCCAATGAGCAGGGTCCCAACCTGTTTAGCCTTTGCTCAAACAAACAATCCCTCCATACCAGGGATCATCCCAGTGAACTTTCTCTGAACTGCCTCCAATGAAATAATATCTTTCCTTAAATAAAGGACTAAAACTGCTTGCAGTGCTCTAGATCTGGTCTCACTAGCATCTTGTACAGTTACAGTGAGAATGCCCTACTCATACACTCCAACCCCCCTGAAAAAAGGGCCAACATTCCATTAGCCTTCCTGATAACCTGCTTTCCTCTGTGTGCTAGCTTTCTGGGTTTCATACACAAGTACCCCTGAGTCCCCTTGTGTTGCAGCTTTCTGTAGTTTCTCTCCACTAAATAATATCCTGTTCTTTTGTTCTCCCTTCCAAAATGAACAACCTCTCATTTTCCCACATTCTACTTCATTTGCCTCTTATTTAATTTATCAATATCTCTCTGTAAACTGTTTGTATCCCTCTCACAGCTCGGTGTGCTGCAAGGATCAGTGCTGAGTCCACTACTTTTCATCATTTATATAAATGATTTGGATGTGAATG